GATGAATCTATCTTAGGAGGGGGATTTCACACACACACACAAAATCAAGATATCCTAAGGATTCGAACTTGAGACGTCCACTTATCTACAAACGAAAGCCATTTTCCACTAAGTTAGCCACATGGGCTTAAATTTGAGTTTTAAGTAAATGTTTAAAAGTATGTGGGTTTATATCTAGAATATAATAGTTTTAAGGGTTTACATTGAACACTGTGTTCACATGCAAAACAAAACAAAACAAAATATCAACTTGACAGTATCCGGCTGCGTACGTGCCTGGACTGGAAATTTCGCTGCCTTCCCAATTCGACTAATAACATGAACAATATGTTCACATGCAAACACGCTGACCATCTTCTATATAAACCCACCATCGCATGCTTTGCTTAAGCTTTCCAATATCACTACTTAAAACCTAAGCCAATATTACTTTGCGAACAATGGCTTTTGAGAAAAACCTTGTGGTCATTGCCATATTCATCGTCTTGGAGACTTCGGCATCTCAAGCCACATCCCGCACACTGTCCGAAGCTTCCATTGCTGCAAAACATGATCAATGGATGACAAAGTATGGCTGCGTTTATGCGGACAATGCAGAGAAGGAAAGGCGTTTCGCCATATTCAAGAACAACGTGCAGTTTGTGGAGCAGTTCAAGACTGAAGGGAACAAGACTTACACGTTAAGACTGAATGAACATTCTGATTTGAGCGATGAAGAATTCCTCCGGCAGCGTACTGGATACAAAAGGGCCACTGAATTAAACTCATCCACAAACATATCTTTCAGGTACAAAGACCTCAGCCCGACTGATGCTCTGCCTAGCATTGACTGGAGGGAGAAAGGAGCTGTCACCCCCATAAAGAATCAAGAAACCTGTGGTAATTAAGAGATCCACCTTCCTTATATTAATTACCTTCTTAACTCATCCATATTCTTTACTAAGTATTGATGTTTTTGTTTTTGTATTATATGTGTAGGCTGTTGCTGGGCATTTTCTGCAGTGGCAGCAGTGGAAGGGATTATCCAAATCAAAACTGGGAAACTGATCTCACTGTCCTAGCAACAACTTCTGGACTCAGCGACTATGGCAACCAAGGCCGCAATGGTGGTTTCATTCCTTCTACCTTTGAATACATCCAACAAAGCGGAGGAATTGCCAGCGAAGAAAACTACCCGTACCCGGCTGTGCAGGGAACGTGTAACGCTAATCAGCCTGCTGTCCAGATCACTGGTTGTGAAAAGGTGCCTGCCAATAGTGAAGAAGATCTACTCAAGGCTGTATCCATGCAGAGAGTCTCAATAGCCATCGCTGGTTCCGGGGTGGAGTTTAGGCAGTACAAAGGTGGGGTCTCTTCTCGAACACAGATTGTGGGACGAGACTGGACCATGCTGTTACCGTCGTTGGGTAAGGAACGACTGAGGACTGCATTAAGTATCGGTTACTCAAGAATCAATGGGGTGAGAGCTGGGGTGAAAATGGCTATATGAAAATTCTTAGGGATGCTGGTCCCCCAGAAGGTGTCTGTGGCCTTGCTCGGGACGCTTACTACCCGACTGCATAATATATATATATATATATATATATTTAAATAGGCTATAGAATCCATATCTAAGTGAGTGTATTATCATTAATGATTGGCTGTGAAAATGCCTGTATCGGCTAAGGCAGGAGCTAGCAAATATGTTTATATCCTTTCACGTAGTAAACTATGTACGTAGTGCGATAAATAAAACACAACTGCATAAGTTGGTATTCAAAAATTGGAGCATATAGGAAGCATATGGTGGAGTTTTTGAAATTTTCCCGTACATACATTTTTAAATCAACAACCCAAGAAGTGATATGGTTTAATGTTTTATATAGTTCTTGTATTTGATGAAATTGACACGCAAGAACTAATAACATGGGTTAGTAATTGTAGACGTGAGCCGTGTTGATTTTGATGGATTACAGGGACCGACGACCTCAAAAGTCTCATTGGTCTTTGCCGAATAGAAAAAAATAACAAATCAAGTTTCTTTTTTCTCTGTTTTTTTTTTTCATTTGGCAGGGGAGGCATAAAAAATTTGCTCAACCACAAATACACACATCATCATCCCTCTAGAGTCTACCATTTGCAATAAAAGGAACGTTGGTAGCTTGCATTGCACCACCACTAGTTTTGCAAATCTGAGTTAGACAGCAACTGCAACGATTTAGCATTCTTGAACATCAAATTCACATCAAGGACTGGATTGTTCTAGCTCGATGTGAAAGTTTGATGACCAAATTAATCCACAATTCTAGACGAACACGGTAGCGAATTAAGGATTGGGAACTTGAAAAACTTGGTAGAGTTTTTAGTCATATCTCAAAAATTAAGGCTTAAACTCCTCCAGAAAATAGTATGCAGGTATTGTACTGATTACATCAAGAGGTGGCCCATTAATTAATGAAGATGACAATAGTTAAAGCTTGGCTGCATGCATACTGAACCCCACCTGGATTTGGAGTTATTCGCATACAAATTGTTAGAACTTGGCTGCATGTTCAAGTTGTACTTAATTTTCCACAAGACATATCAACTTCTAGAAGGAACGTGCCTGGAATTTAGCTCCCTTCCCAATTCGGCCACTTACATCATCACTGTGTGCAGTGCACATGCAGACATATTCTGATCATCTTCTATATAAACCCTCGATACTATGCTCTGCTCCTTCACAGCTAGCTTTCCAGTCACTACTTTGTAAACAATGGCTTTTGTGAAAAACCTTGTGGTGTTTGCCGTATTCATCATCTTGGGTACTTCGGCATCTCAAGCCACATCATCCTGCACAGAGGCTATGGCAACCAAGGCTGCGGTGGTGGTTTGATGGTCACTTCCTTTGAATACATCCAACAAAAAGGAGGAAATCGCAAGTGAAGCAAATTACCCGTACCAGGCTGTGGAGGGAACATGTGACGTTGACAGGGCAAATCGGCCTGCTGTCTAATTCAAGAGGTGCCTGCCAATAGTGAAGACGACCTACTCAAGGCTGTGTCCATGCTGCAAGTCTCAATAGGCATCAAGGCTGCCGGGCAGGAGTTTAACTCAAAATAATTAGGGTTCAAACTGATATGTTTATTCTTTTCTCAAGGAGGAATATATATACTACATACAGAGTGGGTACAAGCAGAAAATATGTACAAAATCTCTTAATTCTATTCAAATTAGATAATTACAATAAAATATAAATTCTATTCCTAATAGGAACGTTAACTCACGCTAACGCTCCCCTTCAAGTTGGTGCATAGATATCGGTAATGCCCAACTTGTCAAGTGAGTCTTCAAATCGATGCTTTGAAACGACATGGGTCAACATATCTGCAAACTGCTCTGAAAAATGCACAAAAGGTATAGAAATTAACTTATGCTCCAGCTTCTCCTTAATGAAATGCCGATCAACTTCTACATGCTTAGTTCGTTCATGTTGCACCAGATTGTTAGCAATTTCAAATGCAGACTGATTATCACAGTGGAGCTTTGTTGCAGCATTCGGTCTAAACCCAATTTCAGCAAGTAACCACCTCAACCACAGTATTTCACAAACCCCTTGGGCAATCCCTTTGTACTCAAACTCTGCAGAGGACCGAGACACATCATTTTGCTTCTTGCTACGCCACGTAACTAGGTACCACCAACAAAGGTGAAGTAACCTGATGTAGAACGTCTATCTGTAATATTCCCAGCATAATCTGCTTTAGTATAACCTTCTAGATCCAAGTGGCCATTTTTCTTAAATAACAAACACATTAGATTTCAGGTTCAGCAACCAAAATGAAACATTGATGCTTAGATTAACGACTTCCAAGACTATTTCAGTATAGTGAAACAGTACTAGTAGATAATTATCTTTAGTCCTAATCAACCGCAGAAGAAAACTTCGCTCGCTAACATGACAACATATCCGGAATGCAACCTGGTTGCCAAAGCCACCACAGATTGCCGAATTGAGATCCCGAGATCTTCTATATATACTCAGATATCTTGAGGGATAAAATGTGTGCCTGCTAGTTACTACATGATTGTTTCTATACGCATAAGCATAAACAAAGTTCATGTCACACAAATCCTCAACCAATAAATAATGGCTTTCACACTTAGAAAGTCGTCATCTATTCTACTAACACTTTTAGTCTTGGGGGTGTGGGCTTCCCAAGCCAACTACCGCATTGTTGGGGTAATTTCAAAGGTCATGAGTTAAGGAAACAAAGAGTTAGAATATAAAGGGTTTAGCTATTATGTCTAGTTTATGACTTGAAGTAAAAGTGAGGTTTACTGGGTATAGTGGTTATGGTTATGTTTAATGTTGAGTTAATCTTATGGCCTATAAATAGGCAGCGTATCTACTGTATGTAATGTGTGTGTCAAGGGTGTATCAAGTGAGTATCAAGAGTATCAATCTTATTGAAGTTTGTTTCAAGTAAGTTTGTGTAGGAGCTCTGTGTAGCCTTCGGGCTTCACATCTCCAAAATTATGTTATGTCTGTTACATTGTATTTCCCCTTTACATTTAGAGTGTATGAGCATAAAGCTAAATTCACCAATAAGTGGTATTAGAGCTGATACGGTCATGAGGACCTGTATGAAAGATGTGGGGTTTAGAGCATGGTCCAATTTTTAAATGATTTTTGGCA